CAAGACAATTGAAAATGCCAGGTAAAAGTTGGCAAATTATTCATCAAAGTAAAATATTTTCCAAACTGTTTCCATTCCATTGGATAAACATTGGCTTTTCATGTTTAAAAACTTTTAAATTAAATAATGTTAAATTCATTAATTTTGTTTGTCATTTATTACAAAAAAAAAAAAAAAAAAAAAAATAGTTCATTTTCATTTTTTCCATTGTTAATATTTTTAAAACTTTAATCATTTCCCATTTGTTTATTTAATATTTAAAATTTAAGGTAGATTTATACAACACATTTTATTTTTAACTTTTAAAGGGTCTCTTCTGAACTAATCTGAAACGTAAATTTGTGTACATTATATCTTACATAAACTTGAATTTTAGATAACTTGGTTTATTCTAGATAATTTCTAAAGGATGATAAAGTTCTGAAAAAAAATTTGAATTGAATGATTGAAATTTTATAGATCGAATATATTAAACATTTTAGAAATTTCGTATTTTAATTAAATAGCATCAACAAATATTTTATTATAAAGGCAAAATGTATGTATTTTAAACTGAAATTCAAATGTTTATTCTTTGAATCTATAATCAGAATTGCTTTCCATTGTCAGGACTTTCCATTGTAATACACAGGCCCTGGAGACCTTGCTTTATAATAATTATAAAGTCCGTATAAAAATAATGTCTGCTACCCTGATGAAATAAAATTGGATGATTCAGAAGATAATTAAAATTTCTTTAGTATTTCAAGACTGCATTAAAAAAAAAAAAAAAATTGTGGAGAGGTCATCGTTTTTAATTAGCATGAGCAACAAAAAAAAAAAAAAATTTTTGCATCGTCATTTCATGTGATTCAAATATATGCCTCAGAATTATAATTATATCAGAAAGTTTGTTTATTTTAACATTTAATGGATAAATGTGAAGTCATCATTTGAACGATGGAATTTTTTTTCTATTTCATATTAAATAAATGCATGGATCTTATGCAACAAATAATAATAGGATGTTATTCGGAAAAAAACAAACATGAATATCAATTTGATGAAATTAAATTTGGATTTTTATCAACAAAATTTATATTATTTTAGTTAAATAAATATTTTTACAATTTCTATATCACCCCAAAAATTTTTTTTCATTCTTATTTCAAACAATTATTATTCCCACCCCAAATTCTATTAAGGACGACAAAATACAAACTGGGTGAAAGGAAAACAAAATAAGGGCGGTGAAAAGGGGTCATGAATTTCAAGTTCTTAAAAATTACTCAGAGAAAGAAAATGAAATAAAAAAATGAATTTCTGATTGAAAAAATTCAAAAATTCAACATCCATACAGATGGCTTTTTTAATAATGGATAATTAATAATTGTCTTGATATTAAAAATTTAAATCAAATTTAAATGAAAATCCAAGATTTTAGAATTTAGCCAAGAGTTCTAAACACGATTCGCATGACAGCCCCTAGTTCCCTTCAGGAACTAGGCGACTTGGAATTTCAGAAACTTTCCTGTCATTTGTAACAAGAACAAGAATTGTCTAACAAAAGTAAAAATAAATCCAATTCGTCAAGTTCAAAATAAAAGTAAAATAAAACGAAAATGCCCAAATCAAAAATGGGTGACAAACATCAATTTTCCATTTTGAACCTTCATTATGAGTCCCTTAAAAACATCTTGGGGTCAGGGACTTCTTGATGTTAGGTATGGCAGCCTTTTCCTTTCCAAAGGAAATAAATGATCGTTCGGTCCATATTATCGAAAGGATATGAGAAAGAGAACCAGCAATTTGTTGCCCAAAGAATTGTCTATGAGCCAGATTTCCTGAAAATGGGAGTAAAGAATGAAGAAAAATGAAAATTGCCACAAGAATTTATAAAGAATGCCGTTCTTCAACAATTGCTGAAACCTTAACTTGAAATCCCCTGAAGATGAGCAGCAAACTAAGTTGCAAAAACATTAAAAAGAAAAGAAACAAAGATTATCATTGCTTATTGTAAAAGTCATTCCATCAAGCAAAAATCTTATATATAAAGTACAGTGTATGTGTGTGTGTTTGTGCATATATGTATCCAAGCAACTCCTCTGCTCCCACTCTCTTGATTTCAATGATTCATAGTTCATTCAAAAAGCCACTAGAAAAGTTAGGCGCAAGGAACGATTTTTCATTGAGCTCAGATTCAGGTTGCCAGATTATGGGAGGTTAAAAATATATATTAATATATTATACTAGCCATTATCGTTGCTTTCATGGTTCAAGAGGAGTAACTTATTTTCTTTTTGTATCCAAAATCCAAAGTGCACGTTTTATTATAAACTAGTTTAAAAGCCACCCTATTGGGCAGCATTTAAGCTAGCTTCTGTGGAGGACTCTTGGTTTGGCCATCATCACAATAGCTAGGGAGGAGTAGATGCAATAGGCATCAATAAACTACAGAAGAACTCAAAATTGATCGCGGCATTTAAGTATTGAATTAATGTTTAAGCCTTTTAAAATTTCAAGGATAATTCTTCAGTTGCCGCTTAATTTAAAGACGAATTGATGTGCGTAGATGCTTATTTTCCGTACAAACAATTATTTTTATTTCCTTGGTGACAGAACAGGGGGCAATTTATAAGATAAAATTAATATAGTGTAAAGATTGGAAAACAAATCAGAATTAGTTATACATTTAACATTTGAAGAGTTAGAGAAAAATAATAACTAATTGAGTAAAACCTCTATTATGGAATCTATATGAATAAATGCGAAATTGGAGCATAATTATCCAACGAATTCCGGAGTTAAAAAGCCCGAACTCTATAGTAATTTGGTATTTACTCGATCCCCCCCCTATACAAAGGTCGGTTCAATGTAGGAAACTGCCCAAAGACAGAGACGCAACTAATAATAGATAAACGTGTTACAAACTACTTTATAGTACTTTTACTGGATCTAACTAACGCCTTTATCCACTGTGCCAAGTGTCCTTGAGGCGTTAGTTAGATCCAGTGACAGGACACAAAAGAGTGTGAGTTCAATACCCGATTAAGGCAGTGGAAAACTTTCAGAGGGAAATTAACAGAAGATAACTGATAACTGACATCCATTAAACATGGCACGTGGAACTAGAACTGTCTACCCCAGTGAGCGAAATAAAGGGTTCAGTTCGACATTCCAATCCAATACTCTACCCAAATTTTGAAATGGGTCCAATTAGTCTCCGGATCTCAGCGTCGCACTTACCGTCCTCCGTCAAAACGCTTCCTAGATATTTTGTAAATTAGGAGACAGGATTGTAAGAAAACAATTATTTGACTTTTGAATATGTTAACAAGTAACTACATACACCACTGAAGGTAAAAAAATATATATTTCCTTATATTTTTAGGCAAAGGTCAATCATACTTTTACTAGATTTATTTAATTAATCATTAAATTTACTATTTTCCCTTGAAACAGAGTCTGGGATTTTTGAATTTATTTATTTATTATTTTTTTACAGTGTGAGTAACCCTTTACAAGGCCCGGGGGCTAGTCAAGATAGGGGGTTACGTTAGGAGGCCATTTGTGTGTATAGGTGATGGAGATAAGGATTAACCCTAGCCTTGAATATGTCAAGACTGTAGTGATCGGGGAAACATCCTGTCGGGAATCGATTCAACAGGACAGTGAGGAGAAGTTGTTCGAGTGGAACTTCGAGCCAATGGAATACGGAGGGAATTTGCTACTATGTAAATGGTATGGGACGTACTTGCCATGAAGGTTTGCCTTGTAATTCGTCCGAGCACTTTCCATGGAAGTAACGGTAGAGCAATGAGAGGCTTGCCCCATCCCGTCTATGGGAGAGAGGTCGAAGGGTGAAGAATAATTCCTCAGCCACAAGGGCTCGGAGACGTTTTTGAACTCCGAAAGCTGGAGAGTGAGGTCCTGGCAGCTCCAGCCCAGATATAACAACATTTTATTAGATTTTTAAAGAGTTTTAATTTCTTTGTCGGCATTAAATTACCTGCTCAGTGGATAAAGGCGTTGGTTAGATCCAGTGACTAGACTCAAAGAGTTGTGAGTTCAATACCAAGATACAGCAGTGGTGAATCAAAACTTGGAGATTTGAGTTAAAGGGAAATAATTGAGACATCCGGACATCATGGCACGTGGAACTAGAACAATCTACCTCGGTGGGCGAAATAAAGGGTTCAATTCGAAATTCCAATCACCTGAAGAAGGCCGAAGCGTACAAACAACGACCGAAGAGTTGTGAATATGGCAATGAAGATTAGAATAACAGTCCGAATAATGCAACAAATAATGTAAATAATGCAAGTAGAAGTTTTTTTTTTAAACTAAAATCTTTATTTACAAACGTCTGTTTTTTGTTTATTTACCTTGCAGATTAATTTTAGTCTATCATATTTAAAAAAAAAAAAACAACAACAAAAAACAAAAAACAAATGAAATTTTACTTCAAAAGAAGATTTTAAATTATTAAAAAAATGAAAAAAATTTTTAATAGATAATGTGTAGAGGTGCCTATAAATTGTTGCCATCATTTTTGTTACTGAACTCTTTCTAATTCGTCTTAATACACGCCACAAGTTCTTGCCACGACCCACTTCCCAAAATCTGATGAACAGAAGGGACGAAACTTGTGTATCTTTGGTGGTGTTATTCGGTGCTAACTAAAAAAAAAAAAAATCGGTAAATTTTCCGCTAATTCGCTTCCTCAAAAGGCAAGGACCGATAAAAGAAAGAGGTGACTTATTTTCTGACGTGATTTCCAGAAATGCGCGTGTGATATGAAGCGATACACGAGAAACGCCGAGTAACTTGATAGATGAATAAATTTATTTATCCATTTAGATCACCCTATCTTCTGGGCAACGCATCGAAGAAATTCTCAAATAGATATACATGTGTAACATGGACGTCGCTTTGTCTGTACTTATCCGATTATACGTAACACCTCATAAATAATGGAATATTACGTTTTAATCACGTGGAATGAATGGAAAAGATTCTACTTGGTCTCAGAGAGAGAGAGAGAGAGAGAGAGAGAGAAAAAGAGAGAGAGAGAGAGAAAGAGAGAGAGAGAGAGAAAGTGAGAAACAATATAAGTGTTTAACATCCCCTGCTAATACCTCATAAATAATGAACTATTCCGTTTTGATCACGTGGCAAGAGGACGAAAAGAAGCGTCTGTACCCACTTAAATTAACGACCAGTATTAATATTTATGATTGTTATTGCAATATCTGTCTATATTTCCGAGATGAGGTATTATGTACATTATTTACATTATTCGGACTATTACGTTTCGGTCGTTGTACGATCCGGCCTTCTTCAGATGGTTGAAATGTCGAACTTAACCCTTTATTTTGCTCACGAGGGGGAAGTGGAAAAATCAGGCGTATCTAACCACATATGGAGAGAGAAGGGAGATCACCGCCCTCTGTGGGATCAGGTTGAGATCATAGACAAAGAACACCATTGGAAAATTCGTAAACTTAAGGAATCAGCATATATGCTTGGCCACAGGAATTTCCTGAGCCGACCAAGCATAGGAATGAATACAATATGGCAACCTGTAATAAGGAGTGCCAGAGAAAAGCGATAATAACAAAAATTGCAATATGAGCTTTGGTAAAAAACATGCAATGATAACATCAAAAAAAAAAAAAATGCAATACTAGAACTGGTAAAATGATTGCTGAAGGCAGTTTTATAATACCCAGAAACTCATACGCAGATATCCTCAAGGACACATGGCACAGTGGATAAAGGCGTTAGTTACATCCAGTGACAGACCCAAAGAGTGTGAGTTCAATACCCAGTTAAGCGAACTTTCAGAGAGAAATTAACAGGAGATAACTGATAACTGACATCCATTAAACATGGCACGTGGAACTAGAACAGTTTACCCCAGTGAGCGAAATAAAGGTTTCAGTTCGACATTCCAACCACCCGAAGAAGGCCGGAGTGTACAACGGCCGAAACGTTGTAATTAATATGGCGACAAAGATGAGGACAATAGTCCGAATAATGTAAATAATGTTATTGCAATATTTGTTAAAGTTCTTATGCCCAAATATTTTTAACAATACGCTAAGGGAATTTCTACAGATATTTTACTGTCGGAGAACTTGAATATTAAGTTAAGATTTACCAACAAATTAAAATAGGAAAACCGTGAAATTTTAACGAGTCTCTCTCGTCTAAATTTATTCTTAGAGTAGCTTAAATGGCGCCGAATAGGGTATTTAAGTTAGCTCCTGCGGTGGGTTTCTTATTAGACCTTTATTACAATACGTAAGGAGGAGTAGATGCAATAGGCAACAATAAACTACAGAACTGAAAATTGTTTGCCGCATTTAAGTATTGTATTCATATTTAAGCTTTTTAGACTCTGGTTCATAGTAAATTGCCTATCACCATTCAGCACAACAATTAACAGACAGAGAATTAACAAAACCCAGACAGACAATTTCCACATCGAGATGTTACGAAAATGTCCTAAGATAAGGAAAAATACATTTAATACCTAGCTTAATAGCCACCCTATCGGGCAGCATTTAAGCTAGATCCTGCGGAAGGACCTTTCTTAGGCCTTCCTCACGATAAGTAAGGGGGGGTTGATGCGATAGGCAACTCAAAATTGATCACTGCATTTAAGTATTGCATTAATATTTAAGCTTACCTTTGAAAAGTTCAATGATAAATCGTCTGCCGCCATTTAATTTAAAGACAATTTAATGTACGTCGGTCCTCTCTTTCCGTACAAAAAAAATTATTTTCATTTCATGGGTGACTTTGGCTGGATTTTGCAATTTCGATTATTCATCAATTTCTAAGTTATAAAAATAGATATCGTACAAGAAAAATTGTCTTAAAAAATATCACAAAAAAATTGCCAAAAAACAATTGCAGTAATGAAAACTTGGGAATTCAAAATTTCAGGATTACGGGATCAGATCCATCCAGGAATGTTTTTAATTTTCTCACGGAGTCGGCTTGATTCCAAAATGGTATGATATGTTGGGCTATGTCCTCTAGAAGTTGAAAAAAAGTTTAGCTACAGAGGAGCGTCTTGTTAGCTATATGATGGACACGTGTAGGATACAGGTTCGATTTCTTTCAGAGGACACATTTTCTATGAAAATTTCTCGGACATTCAGGCCGGTAATTGTTGTCAGTACTGTTTATTATAAACAGAGCATTTACTTAAATATTTGTGTCTATATAAATAACGTATCACAATCAAATATATCAACACACACAGCAGTTTTTAATCGAATCAGGTTTGGTTAAGAGACAGATGTTTTTCTTTGTGAAGGATTATTTTTTCTATGTTTCGAGACATTTTCCTAGACTCTGGTTCATAGTAAATCGCCTATCATCATTCAGCACAACAATTAACAGACAGAATTAAAACTCAAACAGACAATTTCTACATCGAGATGTTACGAAAATGTCCTAAGAATTTAAACACGCAAAATGGTTTCCTCAAGGAAAAATACATTTAAT